TGAGGTGGAAGGATTGCCTGAGCCCAGCAGGTGGAGGCTGCAGTGGCTGTGAGCATGCCACTGCACTCCAGCCTGGCAACAGAGTGAGACTCCAAGTCTAAATAAGTAAATAAATAGATAAATAATTAAATAAAGTTTAGTATTCAGACAAGTTGTGAAATTCAGAAATAATCTGCATTTCAAACCAACCAGAAAAAAATGCTGAACATGTTCATAATTTACTATATTTTCCACTAGTCACACCCACCCCCTCCCCAAATTTTACTTATCTTTTTTTTTTTTTGAGTGGGAGTCTCACTCTGTCCCCCAGATGGGAGTGCAGTGGCATGCTCATGGACACTGCAGCTTCAACCTGCTGGGCTCAGGTGATTCTTCTACCTCAGCCTTCCGAGTAGCTGGAATTACAGGCGTGCGCTATCACACCTGGCTTATTTCTTGATTTATTGTAGAGATGAGGTCTCGTCAAGTTGCCCAGGCTGGTCATAAACCCCTGAGCTTAGGCAATCCTCTCACCTCAACCTTCCAAAGTGCTGGGATTACAGGCTTGAGCCACCCTACCCAACTTACTTATCTTTCAAGGCCACACTCAACAAGGCCACATTCAAATATCTCCTCTTTCATGAAGCCTTCCTTGACTCTCTCCAGGAAATATCTGTGATTTCTTATACCACCTCAGAACAATATTCATAATACCAATATAACACTCATTACATAGTTGAATACATAAATATCTTCTCACTAGGCTATAAAGTAGAATCTATATTGCATTCATCTTATCATCTTGCAATACATAGGCCTGGCGCAACATAAAGGCACAGTGAAAATAATGGCAATAATAATTAAATTATGATACTTCTAATATATTTTCTTGGCCAGAATAGTTTTGGTTTTTGGGGTTTTTTTTTGAGGAGGAGTCTCACTCTGTCATGCAGGTTAGAGTGTAGTAGCACAATCACGGCTCACTACAGCCTTGATCCGCTGGGCTCAGGTGATCCTTCCACCTGAGCCTTCCAAGTAGCTGGGACTACAGGCACATGCTACCACACCGAGCTAATTTTTAAATTTATTGCAGAGACAAGGTCTGACCATGTTGCTCAGGCTAGTCTCAAACTTCTGGGCTCAGGCAAGCCTCTCACCTCAGTCTCCCAAAGTGCTGGGATTATGGGGGTGAGCCACTGTGCCCAGCCTCAATACTCCAAATATATTTTCTTATAGCTAGTGTATCATATTCATTTATTCAAGTGTTTTCTTGTTGGAAGAAGAGAATGTCTTTCCCTTTTAATTTTCGGTAGCAGATGTTGGGAGGATATAAGCAGAAAAGTAGCATAAGATTTGGTCACACATTAAAAGGCATACATGCCTCCAAGATTACTTATTTTTTACAAGGGGGAAATGTACTTTTCCAGTGGAGGTTAGTTAACATCTTAACCACATAGTTGTATTTAACATTATTAGCCAGGCGTGATGGCTTATGCCTATAATCCCAGC